AAACTGAATGTAAATCTTGTATTATATCATGTGAAAACTGGGTTTTGACGACCATGTCGTGTACATAACACTCTACGTTTTTGCCAATTAGTGGCTCAAACAGTTTATTTACAAGTCTTTGAAAAGTGGCCCCAGCGTTTTTCAACCCGAAGGGCATGACCTTGTAACAGTACAAGCCGAACTCGGTTATGAAGGCAGTTTTCTCTTCATCAGCTGGATCCATCCTGATCTGATTGTAGCCCGAATAGGCGTCCAGGAAGATCAGCAACTCGTGCCCCGAGGTCACGTCCACTAGACGGTCAATCCTGGGAAGTGGGAAGCAGTCCTTTGGCCAAGCTCGGTTCAGGTCGGTGTAGTCGACGCACATGCTTCATTTACTGTTAGCCTTTTTCACCAGAACGGGGTTGGCCACCCAGCTCGGGTAATGAACTTCCCTGATAAAATCGGTTGCAAGGAGCTTCCCGACCTCCTCGTCAACTACCCTCCATCACTCTGGGGCTAGGTTGCGTTTCTTCTGTCTAACGGGCCTAAATACAGGATCAGTGTTGAGCCTATGATTTATAATGTTGGGGTCTATGCCGGGCATTTCTGCTGTTGACCATGTAAAAACATCTAAATTTTTGAGTAAGAAACTTACCAGTTGAGACCGTAGGGGTTCCTCAATAGAAACGTCAATCTGAAGTACCCGTGCTGGGTCCTCTGCCGAAGCCGGGATGGGAATGGTCTCTTCGGTAGGCGTGGCTCGCTCTGCGAGCTGCTCCGTCGGTCGCTCTAGCTCGAGGTCGTTTGCTACCTTGGCTTTTCCTTTGAGGGTGGCTACGTAGCAATTGCGAGACTCGAGCTGATCGCCCTGCGTCACTCCGACTCCAAAGTCTGTAGGGAACTTCATCGCCAGGTGATAGGTGGAGACTACTACTCGTAAGGCGTGGGTGATGGGCCGACCTACTATTGCGTTGTACGGGGAGAGGGTCGCGACCACCAGGAACTCATGATTGAGCCTTACCACACTAGACCAGGTGCCGACCTCCACCGGTACAGTGACTCTCCCTAAAGGCCTGACCTCCTCACCGCTGAATCCCACAAGTGGAGTGTTTGTGGGCTTTAGGTCACTTTCCTGGAGCTGGAGCTGATCGAAGGCATCCTTGAAGAGAATGCCAAGCTGCCCGAGTCGACTAGGACGCGCCTAACCTCGAAGTCTTTGATACGAGCACGCCATCATGGGGATAATGGACCCCTTGTGCATCGTCCTCTGTGAAGAAGATCGGTTCCTCCATCCTTGGCCGCTTTGGGGGGTTAAGCTCTTCCCTAGCGGCTTCGCGGACTGATGACCGAGCTGCAGCTAAAGTGCAGCCTGTGACAATTGATCCTCCAACAATTACATGGATGGTCCCCCGGACTAGTCTCTCGTCGGGAGGCTGCCTCTGTGGCTGTTCTGCTTGTTTGTTGGACTCAGGGGCCTCTTTACTATGCTCCCCCTGCCAACCTTCTTTATTATTATTATTATTGTTCTGTGCATAATTTCTCAGATATCCATGACGGATAAGTTCTTCTATCTCGTCGCGGAGGTTCTTACAATTTTCAGTACTATGACCGTGATCTCTATGAAAACTACAATACAAATTTTTATTCCTAGCATTGGGATCGGCCTTAAGCCGAGGTGGCCACTTCACATATGGGGCGTCCTTTCTGCTGCTGGAGCTCGGAAAGGCAGAATTGGCTTTGCCCCCCGAGCTTGGTCCTTCTTCTTCTTGCTATCACTTGGATCTGGGGGCTCCGGTTCCCTTTTTCTTTTTTCAAGGGCCTGCTCGCCCTTCTGGTGGATCTCCTCTTCTATCCCTATGAACCGATCTGCAAGTTCGAGGAACTCGGTCACGGTCTTGGGTTGGTTGACAACCACATGCCACTTGAACTCCTTGTGGGTGATGCCCCGCTTGGCCGCAGTGAGCTAAACTGCAGGGTCTAGGTCCGGTATCTACAGGCAAGCGTCATTAAACCGCTTGATGTAGTTCCGGATGGACTCTCCTTCCCTTTGGACTATGCTAAGGAGGATTTGGGTCCTCGGACACCTTTTACTAGTGACGAAGTGGGAGGTGTAGGCTTGTACGAACTGCGCCCAACTCCTTATTGAAAGTGGTGGAGAAGGCCATGCACATGCAAGACTCGCTCGTTCTGGCCAAATGCATCTAGGACTGAAAGGTGTCCACGTGGCCATTGGGATCGAAGGACCCATCGTACTTGTCCAGCAGGGGGAGCTTGAAGTCCCTTGGCATGGGGAAAGCAAGGTGCTCTGGTGACAGGGGGAGGGAACTGAAAGAAGCGGTGTAGCTTTTATCTCGCCCGAACTTACCTCTACCTTGCCTCTGAGCTCGGGTAGGTCGCGGATGGCAGTTCGGTGAGCTCGGCAACGCCTTCGCTGCTTCTTAGCTGGCTCGGCGTTGGTGCTACTAGCCTCGGTATTATTGAGCTCAATGGGCACGGGGAAAGGCTCAGACAGCTGTCGGTAGCTGCGAACAGAGGGACCTTGTTCCAGGTCGTCGGCCAGCACTTCGAACTGGTTTTTAGCAAGCAGAGGTTCGAGCTGCGAGCGTTGAGGTGATATCGGCCTAACCGGCTGGGAAGCCCCCGACCTAACGGCAGGCTGTGAGGCAGGGGTAGGGGGTCTTTCCTTCCTTCCATGGGACGACACCGAGGTCTCTCCTTGGCGGGAAGGAAGTTCACTTCGGCGGTGAGGCTTGGTAGGCTGTGCAGTTGGATGCCGTGGAGGGAGTGAAGGAAATTGTTGCTGATACTGGTATTGGGACACTTGGTGCAACACTTGCTGCTGGTGGAACTGGAGTTGCTGGAACTGTTGCATCTGAGCCTGCATGGCTCGCATGCACTGCATTAGATCCTCAAGCTGACCTTGGCTGGCCACCGGAGGGAGGATGGTGGGTTCAGTGAAGGTTATTCCGACTGTAGAGGGCAGTGGAACAGTCACTGGTGCCACCGTCTGGGGCACAGTCAGACTAGGAACCCTATCCACAGAGAGGGGGACGGTGAACTGGCCGATGCAGACGCTGGGTAACTAGGGTTGTTCCTCATGGATTTTCCGGCGTCCGGTGTTGCTGGAGGAAGCCATAGGTGTCAATGATGCTGATGAGTTCTTTGGAGAAAGTTGCAGAGAAGTTAGAGGAAGGCCTTTTGAGGCGTTTCCCACAAACGACGCCAAATGATGCAGCACGATGTGGGCACTCCTAGCTGGCTGAGACTTGGCTCCTATCTGTGACGGACGACACCTGAGAGGAAGAGGAAGGTGAAGGATTCCCGGGGAGCTCTCCTGGTGGGAACACTCCAATGGCTAAGTTAGAACTCCGAGGAAAACTCAAGGAAAACACTGAGAGTTAAGAGTGCTGAAAGTGCTAGCTTCAATACCTTTGCTTCGTGAGGGTCGGGGTCTTCTTATACCGGAGCTCAGTCACATCCGGCGTAACCGCCACTACTACTGCCAGGATTGAGGTGGCAGGTGCAGGATGCTGCTACAGGGTACGGACTCATCAGGCATGCCATGCTTTTCAGAGACGGCAGGCACGCCACCGCCTGGCAAGAGATGTGGGCACTGCCACCAGATCCGGCAGGTACGGATGCCAGGCGGATCTTCCCTGCAGGCTGCCGAACTACTTTGCACCAAACCACCTGAGGATGGGTTGCCTTGCACTGAGGTACCGAGGTACGCCGAGGTGCTCGCACTGGAAGCGAGCCTCGAGCAAGTACGAACAGGAGTTTCAACGGTGCTGCCCCGAGGTGTTTCTCCCTCGGGACACTTAGCCAAAAGCTGGGGTGCCCTCTTCTTAGAAAGGGAGAGCTCGGAGCCCCTTAGGAGGAGCTCGGGTCTCAAGGGGAGCTCGGGTTCCTTCGGAGGGAGCTCGGGGAGCTCCATCCTCAGGCTTGGGGCGGGCTGGGCCTCACTTCTTGGCGAGCTGCTACACCTGTCGAGTCGTTTGGTCGGGCCTCGGCGAGCTTGTTGCGCCGAGTTGTGGCCAGGCTATCGCGTTGAGTTATCACTTATGCTAGGTCATGTCCCCGTATCCCCGTGCTACGAGGTCGGGGCAAATCACCCTACATCATTTAAGAACTTAAAGTAGCCTGGATATTGTTTCTTGGAACACAATTCTTTCAGGTTTCCATGAAAACCAGGATGTGCTAAGATTTACTGGAGCTTGATCTTGGAACACAATTCCTTCAAATGCATCAAATTGGGCTCTCCCTTGGCCTTGGTGTCGTGACTTATACTACTATTTTTCTTAACTTTGCTCAGATATTCAAGATTGTCTTCTGGGATTTCAGTTTCATTCCTTTGTAATTAAATCTGCATTTGACTCTAAAACATTTATTTGGAATGCACTTATAACGATGTACTCAAGGTGGGTGTTGCAAAAAAAAAACAGAGGCAATACAGTAGGAAATATCTAGTGAATGAAAACAACTCACTGCATAATTTCATTAAGGAATGGTCTTTAAATAGGCACCTACATCAACAGAAAGCATAAAAATAGGAACCAATAACCACTAAGCTAAAGATTTGGTAAAATCACAACCACTTAACAAACTTGTTGAAGACTAGTTCAGCAATGCTCCAACTAATAACTATCTTCCTAAAAACTAGGACAGCTGACCAACAAATAACAAAAATAAAGATTTTTTTTAACAAACCCTCCCTTAAACTGATGTCTACAGACATCCAATTTAAAACATTCAGAATCCCCTCAAACTGAGTCTACCAGACTGCAAACTCCAAGTAATTTCCTCAACTTCAGAAAAATAGCTAATTTGAGGGACTTAGTAAAAATATCAGCAACTTGGTCCCCACTTCTACAATAAACGAGATCAATGACTTCATCCTTTGTAAGATCACGCAAGAAGTGATACCTCACGTCTATGTGCTTGCATCTTCCATGAAGAACAGGATTTTTGGAGAGCTTAATTGCTGAGTTATTGTCACAGCAAATCTGGGTAGAACCTGGTTACTCAAAATGCATCTCCTTGAGAATTTTTCTCAACCAAAGTGCTTGACAAGCACAAGAAGCTGCTGCTACAAACTCGGGTTCTGTTGTTGACAAAGTAACTAATGACTGCTTCTTTGATGACCACGAAACAACTGCAAAACCCAACATAAAAACATATCCAGATGTGCTTTTTCTGTCATCCAAATCTCTAGCATAGTCACTGTCTATAAATCCAATCAAGCATGATTGTTCACCCTTCTTGTATAAAAGCCCGAGTTCAGTAGTACCACGCAAATACCGAAGAATCCTCTTTGCAGCTAAAAGATGAATATCCTTTGGTTGCTCCATATACCTGCTAATAAGACTTACAACATACATTAAATTAGGTCGTGTTGCTGTCAAGTACATTAAACTTCCAACCATTTGCTTGTAAAGAGTGCTGTCAACCCCTTTTCCTGCTGGATTTTTCACAAGCTTCAATCCTGTCTCAACTAGTGTAGTGGTTGAGTTACAGTTCTTCATATCAAACCTGTCCAAAATTTCTTGGGCATATTTCTTTTGAGACACAAAAATTCCAGCATCAGATTGCACTACTTCTATGCCAAGAAAGTAATGCATTATCCCAAGATCAGACATTTAAAACTCAACCATCATGGATTGTTTAAAGTTTTCAAACATTGTTCTATCATTTCCAGATTATATCAAATCGTCTACATATAAGCACACAATAAGCAATTTTCCTCCATTTTCCTTTTTTGTGTAAAGCGTATGCTCGTATGGGCATTTTTTGAAACCTTCCTTTAAAAAATAAGAATCTATACGACTGTACCAAGCTCTAGGTGCTTGTTTTAGTCCGTATAGARCCTTTTTTAATTTGTAAACTTTATGCTCACTGCCGAGTTTCACATAACCAGGAGGTTGATCAATAAATACCTCTTCTTTTAAATCTCCATGTAAAAATGCAGATTTCATGTCCAATTGGAAAATGGGCCATGAGTTTTGTGCTGCTAATGCAATCATCAATCTGATTATATCATGTCTGGCTACAAGAGCAAATACTTCTTTGTAGTCCACACCAAAATCTTGTCTATAACCTTTGACCACCAAACGCGCCTTGTACTTGTCAACTTTGCCATTCTCCTTCAAGTTCATCTTGTAAACCCACTTAACACCAATCGTCTTTTGTCCCTTTGGAAGGTCAGTCAATTCCCATGTTTTATTTCTTTCAATAGCTGCAATATCTTCATCCATGGTTTTCTGCCATTTTTCTTCTTTGACAGCAACTTCAAAAGTTGTAGGATCACAATCTAAAAATAGAGCAAAATGTGTAAGTGGATCATCAATATCATTTATGTTGGGTACCTCATAGTCTGACATCCATGCTAGTCTTCTTCTGACACGTTGAGAACGAGAACCTGCTGCAGCATCAAGTTGTTCATCTGATTCTGTTGTTGGTGGTGAAGTTTCAGAGGCTGTAGGGATGTCATTTTGAGTATTATGAGGGGCTGGAATTGCTAGAGCATTTTGTTGTTGCTGCTGTTGCGTTTCATCTGCATCTCCCTCATCAAAATCTG